TAGTTCCCAACTAGAGTCCTTTGGAGTTATAACTGTCCAAATGAAATTATATCTTTGAAGGATTAACAGAAATATTTTAGAATTACACAGATTATTACATTGAAAGAAACTGGGAAGATTCACTATGTGAGCCTCCAGAAAGCTTCTGAAGTGCACAATTACTACTGTGCACAAATGAGGTATGAGATTCTGGGATTGCCAATATTACAGGAAATAAAGCTAAAAGCTTGGCTATTGCTACATCTGTTTAGACTATTTCTTTTGTCATGGCTAAAGCAGAAGTCAGCTAAACCTTTGTTATAAGTTGCTATTTGCTTTTCTAAAGGTTCTCATCCAACAACGCACTGGGGATGTATTTCTTATGTACTTGTTACCAGAAACAAAGGGGAAATTGTCTTTTAAGAACTTCTTTCTATGTTTTGTTTTGAATCTTGGAGTTCACATAAGGAATGTAAAATCTTGCTCTAATACAGCATACAGCTGACACATTTGACCTAACACTGCTCACTAAAATCTGAATCACCAAGCTCTTGTAACTTGACGTTCAATCTTAACTTTTCATTAATGTTAGACAGGTTTCTTAATAGAAATATTCAACACAGAAGAAACTCTGTTTCTTCTGAAAATAGTTCCTTTCACAACTTTCCATACAACAAGCTGTTGTTAGTGGTGTCATAGCATACCTATTGTATGACAGCTGTGCATGACTGGCCAGACAACAGAATTCTGCATATGCAAACATCCTAACGCTGAGATCATTGCAGCAGGGCTGAGTGGCTCCTTGCTGCTATGATGTGAGACAACAGGAGAACAATGTCAAAGTCTGATCAGAAATGAGAAACACATTCACCAGCGACACAGTGCACAGACCAGTGCCACAGCAAATTGACTAGCTCTTCTTGCTGGCATCAGAGAGATTATGAGACCAATACTGAGGCAGTCCCAGCTCAAGAAAACGTGGAGATTTTCACTCTGTATTCCCAAATCAGGCCTAGCATCCTGGTGTGACCAAGCTCATTTCCATCATTCTCAGGTTTTTAGAAAGACAGGAAATCATCAATCTTCAGAGTTTGATTTCCCTAATGCAACTGTGAGATGCAAAATATTCTACTGATGTTTGCAGTTGCTTAGAGCTCCAAATAAAGTAAAAGAACTATTCAGTAACTCTGAATGAAGTGGAAGAACATTGGGACCATGGCCCACTGAACTTCTGCTCCCACATAACCCCTCTAAAATACCCAAGACCTGGATCTGACTTTTGCAAATTACTTTCAAGAGCTGAAGAACCCACAGCATGGTCTACAGGGAATCTGGTGAGATGCCTTTTATTAGCCAACCACCAAAGTAGACTTCACATAGAACAATAAGCTACCTCACATCTACCCAAAGGACACTGCAATGGGATCTGACTAAGCACAAACCTATGATCATCTCCCCTGTAATGGTCACTGTACAGTGTGGACGTGCACAGGCTCCAGACTAAAGGTAAAAATGAATATCTACTGGAAAATACTGATATTTGAATTTAAACTGTCCGGCTTCCGTATTTTCCTTTATTTGATAGCAGAAAAACAAAACAAAATAAGGAAGTAATGTAAAAACATTTTGCCTCAAAGTATAAAGGAATCGTTGGATGACTGTAGAGCTAGAAGTCTAGCTGCCTCTCACTGAAAGTTGAGAAAGGTACAGCTTGCAGACTGAAGATGCCAAAATAAGCCAAAAACAGAGCAGATCCTGCTGTGTAACCAGAAGGAAGGGAATGTCAAAATAACATGAGGGAAGGACAGGATTTGTCCATAACTCTTCAAAGGTCTGTGCAAGGGCAGAATGTGAAGAAGAGAACCATTGCATCACTCTGCCACTCAAGTGCTATGTATGAGAACTCTGACACCATACTGTCACAATTCCAACCAAAGCCTAGAAGTTGAGGGAAATCCTTGGAAAACAGGCCTCTTTTTGGATGCTGGAGGGAATATTCAAAATATTAGGAGTTCCCTCATGGGGGACACCCTCCTGGACTGCTCAGCTTAACCGCTACACGATAGGAGTGTTTAAGCTGAATTAGGCTCTCCAGGTGCCTCAGGGTTACAACGAATGTGTAAAAACCTTCAGTTTATCTTTCTAAAGACAAGCTGAAAGCAGCACATTCTGGATGCCAGTTCCTAAATGGATCAGCCGGGTGTGCCTCAGGGATGGGATGAGCAATTGGCAGCTCTAACAGCTTCAGTCATGTAATTTTTTCCCATCACTACTAGTCTATCACAGCTAGAGGCCACCAGCTCCTCTTAGGATGAATTCCAGAGGGTTTAGGCTGGATATAGGCAGGTAGGCATGAATATGGAGATGCAACCTTGGGAGCTTTCAGGTTTGAAATGGAGGTATCTACCAATGGATATGCTATTGTGGCTGTGTAGCTGATAACCAGGATGGTGTTCTGTATCACAGTTTTCAATCTAGAAGCCCTAAGTCCATGCAAGTCCTGTTACAGGCATTTAGGTTCTGGGCCAGGAGACGAAATAACCTTTCCACTTGCCTGAGTAATATGTGCACTTCATCTGATAATATTCAAATCTCTTTAGCTACATTATAATGAGGTTAAAGCAAAAAAAGATTTCCCCACCCCACATATTACAAATGTCAGTAATGAGAACAGTAAAAATGTCACCACACGGTGAAAAGAGTGAAATTAGCATATTTGGAGAAGTATTATGCCCATGAGTGAAATAATGCAATCAGCTAGCTGCAAGATAAAGCTAATTTGGTTTCCAACAGTTTATCAACAATGCACTGCTCCTTTACATTAACAAATTTAAACAGTACCATATCCTGCAAACAAGAATAATTCACACAGAATATTACGCTGTGTTAATTAAATAGCTGGAACAGAAAAGGTCAGGCCATGACTGAAAGATCTGCGTATGGGTTGTAAAGCTATGAGAAAGATGGAGCGATTTAGAATCAGGCAGTTAAAATAAATTATTCAAAACATGATTAATTCAATAGTAAATAAACCGAGATTTTCCAAGTCTATTTTAATGCCCCCTTTCTTTTGTCAGTTTCTCAGAAACCTCCCTCTCCTGCTGGCTCATGCGTGAGCCAAAATATCTTTAAAACTGTCATATGGTGAAGTGACTTAGATAAGTTATCAAAGAATTAACCTGCTTATATTCAAGTTTTCATTTTTCTATGCAGGTATTGGAGGCAAGAGGCACGTTTTGCAGTTAAAGAACACTGCAAAGCCTCACCTTCCTTATTTCTGCTACTAGAATAAACAAGACATCACTATAATTACTACAGTTAATTGAAAAATGTCCAGAGAAAAACATTTTTTTACTTTGTTTACTTCTGCAAATGACAGCACTTTGTCTTTGGCACGATGCCACCAAATCAATTAAATTATAGTAGTAACATGGCCATTTTAAATTGAGAGAATATTTTGGCATGGGCTGAACTACACTGAAGCAGTAAAGTATAAAGACTGCCAGGCAAAACGGGGAATTAATCTGACTTGGAACCCCAACACACTGCGGAATACACATCAGTCATAATCAAGGCTGAACCTCATCCAGTATTTTTACTGTATTTTATTTTTGTCACCATAATTGTACACGCAAGCCTAAATTTTACTTTGCATTCATTTTACATTCTTGTTATTTATTTGTGCATAAACTTTATTTTCCCTTGAAAATATCCTGAAGTTTTCTAGCTAAAACCTTACTTTCATTTTGATCACATTTCTGATGATTTCAGCTGATACTCGTTTCCTTTTCCCACTCTTAGTGTTTGCAGCTTCTAAATGGACCCGCAGTCGAGCAAACAGAACTAGATGGGCTAAACAATATGCAATGTCTGTATGTTTGGGTTTTCTGGAGGGGAGGGAGAAGGGTATTTATGGGAATATGTGGTTTTGGCTGCAAAGTCGTGGGTTGGGCACGATGTCTGAATTTCAATCATGTGCTGCCAATGTATTATCAGAATTACAGCATTAGCATTGCCATCTAAAACCAGCCTGCGTGGGTCCCACCATTTAGCTCTTCCCAATTAAGCACACGGGCATTTATCAAACCAATCTTTGTGACAGCATTCCTACGCGAGCCAAACAGAAATACGTCATTTTTTAAGGGAAGACGAAGCATTGTGCAGCGTATGAGCCATTAATTTCATGACAAGTGCAGATGGTAGATATACAGATAAATACTCATACAACCTAATTAAATGAACATACACTTCGGCCTATTTAAACGATAATAGTTCCTAATGAGCTCAGCGCAGCTCACACGGCCATATATTCATCTGAATTCTCTTAAACTGGATTTATGTGCAGGCAGTAACCGAACCCTGGTGGGGTTTTTATTCCAATCCAGTCCATAGCTGATTTTTATCCTCTTCATTACAGCACAGCTCTGACAGCTGCGAGGCACAGACACCCATTTAGGTGCGCTCCATCCATCCCGTGCACTTCTAGATACTAAGAGGCACAACCGCAAAACAGCCCCCTTCAAGCCTTAACGCACTCGTCTCCTGGAACGAAACAAAAGGTTACTTGGAACCCTGCGGTGCGAGACGAGGCCGGGCCTTCCGCAGTAACTGCGGGTTCGGGAGCCGGGGCACAGCCACCAGGCCTCAGCAGACGAGCTAACTAAACCGCGTCTCTCGCCCAGCAGGGCCGCACCCCGGGCCGGCGGGCACCTACCGGGCGCGGCGGGGCCGCCGCTGTCCGCCTCGGCCATAGCCGTTCAGTTCCCTTCCGCACCGCCCTCACCGACGGCCGAGCGGGCCTAGCCCGGAGCGAAGCGGCCCCACGAGGCGTCCCCCGGCCGCGCTCCCCTCCCCGGCGCCGCTTTCCTCCTCCCCTCGCCGCCGGAGGAAGGAGGCGGCCGCCGGCCCTCCCCGACCGCGCATGCGGCTGTGCCGGGCCGGGGCAGCGCCGCCGCGCTCCGGGCTTCAAGTGCGGGCGTCCCCGGCCCCCTTCCCTCCGCCCCGGCGGGCCGCCCCGGCAGATGGGCTTAGGCTGGAGCAGCGCGGAGGAGCGGCAGCCGCTCCTGCGGCCCCCGCCGCCCCCACCGGCAACGCAGCGGCGGCCGCAGCCTCGGGGGCCGGCGGGGGGCCCGGCCGTGCCGGTTCCCGTTCGGCGGTTGGCGCCGGCCGCGGGCCGCGTGTACGGGCGGCGGTGGTTGGTGCTACTGCTCTTCTCGCTGCTGGGCTTCTCGCAGGGCCTGGTGTGGAACAGCTGGGGCCCCATCCAGAACTCGGCTCGCCTGGCCTTCGGTTTCAGCGGCTGGGACATCGCCCTGCTCGTCTTCTGGGGGCCCATCGGCTTCGTGCCCTGCTTCTTCTTCATGTGGCTGATGGACAAGAAGGGTGAGCGCTGCGGGGGGCGGCGGGGCCCGGCTGCTGAGAGCCGCGGGGCCGGGCGGGCCGGTGAAGGTGGGCGAGGTGACCTCGGTGAGGATTGATGCTCCAGGGGCATCGAGAGTGCTGCTTTAGGGATGCAGCACGTGCATAAGTGAGTCCAAAGCAGTTTGTGAGGCCGGTGTTCGGAGATGTTGCAGAGCTTGGAGCTTTAAGTTCACGTGGAGATGTTGGTCACTTTGCTTTGGCGTGTGTGCAGGTGTTTGCCATGGAAATGGTGGCATTCTGTGTTCATTCTGTGTTCTGATAGTCAGCTTTTAGGTTTTTGCGTAAAGGTGTTTGTTAAGGTAAAGTTAGCGATAGAGTGAGAGGGAATGGCCTCATGTTGCACCAGGGGAGGTTCAGGTTGGATATTAGGAAACATTTCTTCTCAGAAGCAATGGTGTGAGGTATTGGAATAGGCTGCCCAGGGAGGTGATGCAATCACCATCTCTGGAGGTGTTCAGGAAAAATGGAGATGTGGCACTGAGAGACATGGTTAGTGGGCTGTATTGTTGGTAGGCGGACGGTTGGACTGTAGATGGTCTTAGAGGTCATTTCCAGCCTCACTGGTTCTATGATTGCGTGATTTGCTCTGCTGTGAAATGATGATTCTATAGTTTCATAGAATCTTAGAACCCTTGAGGTTGGAAAAGACCTCTAAGAACATCTCATGGTGACTGCTGCATCTTGATAAACTCATTTCTATTTGGATAACTTCTGCATGACCCCTGGAGTTTGTGCCCAGTCATCCTAGGGATCACTGAGGTGATGAGACAAAACACACGTGTGCAGGTTTGAGCTTCTAGGCCTAAATCCGCAGAAACGTTCAGTCTTTTAATTCTAGTTTAAATAGATCCCTATCAGGAGATGCTAAGTGCTGCTCATTCTGTTTATGTAGGCTTTAATAGCTCGTTTGTGTGTAGTGAAGGGAGGGAGAAAAGATGTAGCAGAGAAGGCTCATGCTTTGAGGTTGGAACTGCTTTTCCTACCGTTGAAGTGACACTGGGGGAATGAAATCTGTTGGTCTGAAAACACATTCTCCAAATGAGTCCATGGTGGCTCTGCTGCCATCATTCAAGCAATTCGAGCTTAAGCCAACAGTGCCTACTTAGACATTGCTGTGTAACAGTGTTGTTAATTATCTTGAAATTCAAGTTAGTTATTTTATTTTCTATGATGAAAATGACAGCTCTGCTTGTGCTGTGAAGGAAATGAAACTGAACTTGAACTAGTGCTGATGGAGGAGGCTGGATGTTAGGTAAAACTTCTCAGAAAGGGCGGTGAGGCTGTGGAACAGGCTGCCCATGGAGGTGGTGGAGTCTCTGTCCCTGGAGGTGTTCAAAAACTTGGAGATGTGACACTGAGGGATGTGGTTAGCGGGCATGGCAGGGATGGGCTGATGATTGCTCTAGGTGATGTAAGAGGTCTTTTCAACCTTTAATGATTTTACAATTCTAACTGAGTGTGCATTTTAATTTATTTTCTATGGAGTTGATTCTGATTGATGTTAAAATGCTGGAATATCTTAAATAATTGCCTTGTTATTGCTTTAATTCTGCAGTCAGTGGAGATACTCATATGAACTACTTCATTGCTATTGCCATGTTGCTGTACTTGTTGCAAGATTTCCATTTTATAGCCTTCATGGATAATCTTAGTTCATTGGTTTCATGCACAGCATGTCCTTTGTGCAGCAGCAGGTTTTGTGGGGGCCCTGTTGCATGTCATACAGTTTTTGGAGCTGCTGAAGATTCCCTTGGAGAATGTAGTGCTTTCTCCTTATCCTGATGGAGTGAGGAGTGCCAATATGCCTGGCTCTGCACCATCCCACTGGTGCTGCCTCATCAGGAGGGGTAGGATGTGTGTCCCAGAAGGAGCAAGGCTCTGAGGCTGTCAAGTTGACTGGGTGTGACCTTGCAAGAGCAGTATTTCACTTGCTTAGGGGTACAAGTGCTTGTCATTATACTGAATTTACTCTCTGTACCAAAAATATAGAGAGACGGCACCATTTACTCTCTGGGCTTCAATCATCTGTCATTGGAGTTAGCTAGTAAGGAAGCTGTCAGGAAAAAAATGTATTTGTGAAGTGTCAACATTTAAAACCTGGCATGTATCAGAAGTATGACACTGTGGATGATGCATGTCAGGGTCTGTGAAAGGAGGTTCTGCTTTTAGATAGTCCTGTGCTTCACAGTCAGAGGTGTATCTACCGGGTATCAGTACAGAGCTGCCTGCTGTCAGAGAAGTGAGTTGGTGTTACGATGCTTCAGATCGAGTCCAAAAGTGTTTAACTTCTTGGTTTTTCACTTGTTTGGTGTAGCATATAGCTTGAAATGGAAATCTGTTTCTTTTTTCCCCCTTTTAATTGAATTCAAGTTGGAAGGTTGAATATTCTGCAGTAGGCATGTTAACAGTGTGACTTGTAGAAGTCTTTCTTGTGGGATTTAGCTGTAGCACAGCTTTTCAGAGAAGCATGGGGTGTTCCTGGGAAGAGAGGATAGCAGCATTTACTTTTAGTAAAAGATGTGCTGAACAAGCAACCATCGTTACTGTATTTTGGATAGTAGGAGTCTGAGATGCTCCCATTATGCTTTTTTGGTTTCTTAACCTGAATGGGCTTTCTTTTTTTTTTTGTGATCTCCTCCCTCTTGGCTCACCAGATGCGTTCTGTAGACCTGTAGTGATTTCCTGGCTCTTTGAAAATTGAGAGTGAGTTTTCACCTATAGTGATGGTCTTCATGAGACTGCATTAGCAAAATACAGTCTGAGCAAATTTGGTAGGAATAGACGAGCTTCTGTGAAGGGTGATAATGCAGCATTTTAATGAGTCTTCAAAGCCTTAGCACTCGCATGGTATTTTGCTGGGGTGTGTAAATTGAAATAGCATTTGCAGTGTTGCCGAGCTCATGTTCTTAGAAATGCATTACCTTTCAGACACTTAGCAGGGCTCACAGCTGGAAGTTCTTTGGGTTTGAGCCCTGTTCCCCTGCCTGAGTGTACGCCTGCACCACTATCCTCTGCCTTGGGAAGCTGGCAACAGCTTTCCAAGCTCTGTTTTTTAGGGTGCTGTCATAGGGGCAGAGGTGGTACTCATAACGTTTCCCGGTCTTGGACTGGGCTGGCTGTGTGTTGAAAGGAGGAATTATGTTTGCTAATGTCATTTTTCAGTATATGCCATTTTGCAGGAGGGGGGTTTTTATTGTTCTTGTTGTTTTGTTTCTTGGTAAAGAAAGGTCAAGAAGTGTGCGTGCAGCGGAGCAAAATGTCACATTGGATATGTTTCCTTTAGCAATAGCATAAGGGAGCCCTTTTAAAATAATCATTATCTTCAGAGAATCAGTATGAATTAAATCAAATGGGAAATGATTTCAGTGTGTTGTTGGATGGACCCTTGGTGTTTACAAGATTAAAATTAGCCACAGCTTGTCACCCGATGCTCGAGTGGTTAAGGATGTTTTGTGCCTGGAGTATTTCCTGGGAACTCTGAACACATGTACGGGTCCATTCGGGTGTTTCTGTCTCTCAACTCCTCTTGAAATCTTAAGCTTAAATACTTGAGTTATGGATCTGGTCTGCTGGTCGTCTTATGAGTTAAGTTCATAGTCACAATGTGAGACACAGAAGTAATATATAATATCAGTCTTCATTATGTTCCCGTGTAATCAAGAAAAGGCAATGAAGAAGGAAATAATTTATGATAATTTACATTAAACTAATTTAATAGAATGGTGATATTTTTCATTAACTTTTGGAATACAGTTTTATCTTGTATCGAGTTTGAATAAACGTTGCTTATTACTGGTAAAAGTGAAATGTAATTTATTTCTTGATCCTTTTTTTGTGAAATGGTATACACTTACATGGGTTGTATAGATATCCTTAGTAGCTTTTTTTTTTGCTAAAATTAAATTTGCCTAGTATTGTTATCCCAGTGATTAAATTATAAAATGGAGAGAAAATTTCAATAATGTAACTTCTTTTTTTTTCTGGTGGAGATTGGCTTTCATTTTGAAACCATTAATGTTTTGACTTATATAAATAACTCTTCTTCTTCTGAATATCAAGCTCCTGATTTCTCTGCTGTCTCATATATCATTTAGGTTTCTGGTTCTGTCCTTTGAAGCTTTTGATAATTTTTACTTCTTTCACCAGGGAATTTTGAGGTTAAATCCTTTAATACAGTCTGACAAAATCGTAATGAATATTGAATGAGAGCAGTAAATCGGGCTTTACTCATGTAAGAAGGTCTTAATAACTGTTCTTTGTACAAAATAAGCTACACGCGGTGGACAAACAGAATTCTGTGTAGCAGCCTTCATACGTGAAGTTCCCGCATTGTCACTTTGTGCTGCATACACGCAAAAGCTGATCTGGCTTTTAGGGCATCCAGGGTCACTGGAACAGAAGAAAGAGGACTTCAGGTGAACATCTCCTCCCTGGTCATCTAGGGGGTGTTTGTGAAATGCCTTCCATTTTTGAGTGATGTGGAGCTGAGTACGGGGAGTAAGCAGGAAGCAGTTCCAGAGGCCGTTGGATTTGCAAATGGCTCAGTGAAACCAGCAGATGGGGAAGATTATCTTTCCATCAGGCGTTTCCATCGTGCTTGGTATCTCAGGGTCCTGATCTGTTATTCAGGCTCTCAGGCCGTGTGACAGTAAATACAGATTGGAGCATGCTGCTACTAATTTCAAAAAGTTGCAGCAGGTCTAGTTGCTGTTAGTCTCATATCACTGTCAGTGGGCAATGTGAGATACTTTCCATGGTGACACTTGCAACAAGGTGCTGACTTTTCATGGCAGTACTTAGAGTTCTTAATGTTCCAAGTGATCGTAAGTACATGGATTCTTGGAGAACAGAAGGGCAACAACAAGTGACTCATGAGCCTTTAAAGGCTTTCAGACTTTTTAAAGTCTGGAAGTTTTCATCTCTGGCGAAGAAGCACATTTTCAGCTCTCTTTCACCATGGT